CTCTCTGCTCGCGCCATTCCCTGCGTCTTCCTTGGTTTTCCTCCTGACGCACCTGGCTGGCAGTTTTACGACCCCACCTCGCGCCGTGTCTTTGCGTCTCAGGACGTCACCTTTGACGAGTCTGTTCCCTTCTACCGTCTCTTTCCCTACCGCACTGCCTCTCGCCCCCCCCCGCCGCTCTTTCTCGCTCCAGGTCCTCCCCAGGTAGACCCCCTCCCCGCGCCAGGTCCTGCTCCTTCAGGTGTTTCTCAGGTAGACCCTCCGGTACCTGCGCCTGTTGAGGTCACTGGTGACTCAGGTCCTGCTGGAGGTGGTCCTGCTCGGGGTGCTGTCTCTGGGGGTGCTGAGCCTGGGGGTGCGGAGCCTGAGCGAGAGGCGCCTAGAGGTGCTGAGCCTGGGGGTGCGGAGTCTGGGGGTGCCGTGCCTGCGCGTGAGGAGCCTGGCGGTGCTGAGCTTGGGGGTGTCGAGTCTGAGGGTGCTGTGCCTGCGCGTGAGGAGCCTGGAGGTGCTGAGCTTGCGGGTGCCGAGTCTGCGGGTACTGAGCCTACGCGTGAGGAGCCTGGAGGTGCTGGCGCTGGAGGTTCTGGAGCAGCTGGGGGTGCTGGCGCTGAGGGTTCTGAGTCTGCTGTTGCGCGGTCTCCTTGGAGTAGCCGCCTTCGTCCACGTGTGCCTCTCACCCCACAGCAGCTGCAGGACTGGTACGGTCACCGTCAGCGTCGCGCTGCTGGAGCTAGGAGTGGTGCTGGACCTTTGTCTACTGGAGGTGCTGGAGTCGCTGGTTCTGGAGGTGCTCGTACTGGAGACACTGAGGCTGGAGACCCTGGGACTGGAGGTGCTGACTCTGGGGGTGCTGCTGCTGGAGACACAGAGGCTGGAGACCCTGGGACTGGAGGTGTCGGCTCTGGGACTGGAGCTTCTGGAGCTGCTGGAGGTACTGGAGCTGCTGGAGGCACTGGAGCTGCTGGAGCTGCCGGTACTGATGCAGCTGCGCCGACACGACTGTTCTTCGCTCCGCCATCTCCGTCGTCTCTGCCGCCGTCTGACTCTGTTCTTCGTCAGGTTCTTACTCTCCCGTCGTCTACTGGTCTTCCGTTACAGCCTGGCTCACCGCTGCCTGCTCCTTCTCCTTACACTGAGCAGACTGGTAGTCCTGCTGAGCGTCGTGAGCCTGTGTCGCGTCCTGTCTCGCCTGCTCGTCCTGGTCGTACCGGTCGTCGTGTTCCTCGTTCGCGTCAGCAGGCTGTCCCCAGCGCACACCTCGTAGTTCGTCGTCCTTCCTCTGCTCTGCAGCCTGTTCCTCTGCCGTCTCCTCCTGCGTCCTCTCTACCTGACGTTCCAGACCCTGAGTCTGACCGGTTTCGTGCTGAGCACCCTACTGTCACGCGTCTCCTAGCCACTGTTATCACTGACCCGTCGTTTGAGTCTACTGCTGCGTCTGCTCTTGTCGCTGAGCTTGTTGACTTTGCTGCTGCCTGTCGTCTAGACTACGCCGCCAGTCTTGTTGCTGAGTCTGAGTCTGTCTGTCCTCCGTCCGTCGGGGGTGAGTGTGCTCTTAGCACGGACGTCCTTGAGGACAGGCAGGAGGAGTTCCAGTGTCTTGCTGCTGCTTTACCTCATCTTGTGTCCTCGCTACTTGCCCCTGAGGGAGACCCGGATGCACCAGACATCCCGACTCCGCGCTCTTACGCAGAGGCGATAGAGAGTCCCTACTCCTCTCAGTGGCAGGCAGCCATGGACGCAGAGATGGCTTCCTGGAAGTCCACAGGCACCTACGTCGACGAGGTTCCCCCACCTGGGGCGAACATCGTCAGTGGCATGTGGATTTTCAGGGTGAAGCGGCCGCCGGGTTCTCCACCTGTCTTCAAGGCGCGTTACGTGGCTCGAGGCTTCAGTCAGCGAGAGGGAGTTGACTTCTTCCAGACCTTCTCCCCCACCCCGAAGATGACAACTCTTCGGGTGCTGCTGCACGTTGCTGCTCACCGTGACTACGAGCTTCACTCTCTTGACTTTAGCACAGCTTTCTTACAGGGCAGCCTGCACGAGGAGATCTGGCTGCGCCGCCCCCCGGGCTTCACTGGGTCGTTCCCTCCTGGCACCCAGTGGAGCCTCCGACGGCCGGTCTACGGTCTCCGCCAGGCGCCGCGTGAGTGGCACGACACACTGAGGACTACGCTTGCGGCTCTTGGGTTTGCGCCTTCTACTGCTGACCCGTCGCTGTTTCTGCGCACCGACACTTCACTGCCGCCGTTCTACATCCTCGTGTACGTCGACGACTTGGTTTTTGCCACTACTGACACTGAGGCTCTCGCCCACGTGAAGTCGGAGCTACAGAAGAGACACACGTGCACTGACTTGGGTGAGCTGCACAGCTACCTTGGCTTGCAGATCACCCGGGACAGAGCACGCCACACCATCACCTTGACTCAGTCACACATGGTGCAGCAGGTCCTTCAGCGCTTCGGCTTCACCTGGTCTTCAGCACAGGCCACTCCTCTGGCTACAGGTCACACGCTCTCAGCTCCACCTTCGGACGAGTCCGTAGAGCCGAGTGGTCCTTACCCAGAGCTAGTCGGCTGCCTCATGTACCTGATGACTTGCACTCGACCTGACCTCGCGTACCCTCTTGGTCTCCTCGCTCGCTACGTGGCTCCTGGTCGACACCGACCTGAGCACATGGCTGCTGCTAAGAGGGTACTGCGCTACTTGTGCAGCACATCAGGCATGGGGCTAGTGCTTGGAGGGACGAGCCCAGTTGTCCTCACTGGGCACTCAGACGCTTCTTGGGTTGACGACCTGGCTACTCAGCGGTCGTCACAGGGTTACACCTTCAGCCTTGGCTCTGGTTCAGTTTCGTGGCGTTCTACACGCTCGTCTTCAGTTCTCGGCTCCAGTTGTGAGGCTGAGATCTACGCCACCGCCATGGCTGCACAGGAGTTACGCTGGCTCACCTACCTGCTGACTGACTTGGGAGAGCAGCCTCGTTCTCCTCCAGTGCTGTACGTTGACAACAAGGCCGCCATTGCCTTGTGTGAGGAGCACAGACTGGAGCACAGAACGAAGCACATTGCTCTGCGTTACTTCCTGGCTCGAGAGTTGCAGCAGCGAGGCCAGCTTTGTCTTCGTTACGTGGCCACTCGGGCCAACACTGCTGATATATTCACCAAGGCACTTCCGTCTGGTGATCATCAGCGCTTTTGTACTTTGTTAGGCCTTGTGCCTACGTTTCCACACTTGATGTAGTCTTTGCTTGTACTGTGATCTATATACATATATACCTGCATGCTGGCTCTTGCTAGGTAGCCATCACTGTACTGTCATTGCTGCATATATATCTCTGCATGTGAACTGGCCTTGTGGCCATTTGCTTGTGCTCAGAATGTGTGGTGACGTTGTGATCCACCCTGAGCTTGTTTTGCTTCTCTTGACTGGTCTTGTGACCCGTTGCTCTCCCCCACTTTGCCTATGGGGGTGTGTCAAATGATATATATGTGTGATATATATTGGTAGGCTGTAGTGGGGTAGATGTTGTAGGAGATAACACTTTAGGGTTGTGTTATTTGTACCAAACTCTCGATAGTGAACTCAACCTTGCCTGATTCTCTCGACAAAATTTTCGTACCCTGCTTTCAGCAGGGTAAATCAACCACTAAACTGATTTGAGCAGGGTAGTGTTAGGCTTAGCCTGTTTTGATTACCGGCGACTTCACTATCGCGTTCCAGACGGAAAAGGAATACGGCATGCGTCGCGGGCCACGACGCGCGGTGCAATGGGAAGCAGCGCGGCGCGCTGCGGGAGACTCCTGCAGCGGGGGACGTTAAATGAATTCATGTCGGGAATTGCGCGTCGAAAAGTATGCTCTTTGTGGAAATCCTGTGTCGAAGAGGTGGGAGTGCTTCAATTTGTTTTTCGCTAACTCGCATTGTAACTACTTCCCCGTTACCACAGGTTCCGTCCTCGTCCCGCAGTGCTTGAGGTCTCAATCAAGTGGCAACGATGCACGAAAAGTGCCTAGTTTCTCGTTCCGTCAGCACACTCCGTAGGGTATCTTTCACGCTATCTTCTCCTCTCCTCTCGCCCCGTGTGCGCCCCCACAGTGCGGTGTTTGTGGGGGTGTGGTAAATTTTGACACCACGCGGACTGTGATCTGATTCGCGTTAGGAATGTTTCGGTAAAAGGGTAGTGTACACTATACCCTGATTCCGTCAGGCTAACCTAAAAACCAATCAGGGTGAAATAAAACATGCTCTTTTAAGAGAAGGGTAACTATCTCGCATTCCTGATTTTGGCAGGGTAATCCTGAAAAAACGGCCGACCCCCAGGGTAATCAGGGCGTTTTACCCTGATATTTTGGGCCCTGGCAAGAATACGCATGGCCGAGCGGTAGATGAGCACTGACATCGAGGCTATGCAGAAGACTCTGTCTCACATGGTCGTGAAGCTCCATTGGTGTTGTTCCGTTTTTTAAATCGTAAACATATATTCAAGTAACCTTTGAGATCAGATTATTTACAGTTTCAGATCAAAAGGACTTGCATTATTTTCATGTAACCCGACATTACCCTATCACATGCTTTGGTGTACCCTGGGAATAATTTTGGATCGGTCTGGTGGTTCCCTGACGATGGGAGTGCTGGTGGTGTCAGGTTGCTCTGCTGTGGGACATTTGCGCGGGCCCTGGCGGGTCGCTGCGCGTCCCCAAATGGGCTTGCGCCACGCGAGCAGCGATTCGCGATCAGGTTTCTAGGTCCCCAGCCCCCAGACGAGTGTCGCAGCTTGGCCTCATGTGTCGCCACGGTTACCAAACAAAACAGTCGCCTGCAACGTTCACGAACAACCTTTCTGTTGCCTATGCTTGGCTTGGCCTTCAACCTTGGATTATTGGATACTACCATCTGACCCCCACTTTCACCACAACCAGCCAACCTCTCAACCTTGCAGTCTAGATTTGTTCACCTTCTTCCTCCACAGATCTGGTTCTCTCTCTGTCCCCCTCGCAGCCATGGGGCTCACGTTCGGAAAGCTTTTTAATCGTTTCTTTGGAAAGCGTGATATGCGCATCTTGATGGTTGGTCTTGACGCTGCTGGTAAAACCACTATTTTGTACAAGCTGAAGCTGGGAGAAATCGTGACAACCATTCCTACTATCGGTATGCCCTAGACTCATCCTGTCTGCGTGATTCTACAACACACTATTCGCAGTGACTTCGCGAACCCTGTTTTCATGACGTTGTCCGTTCCCGGATGGATAAATCTGTATTTTGGGTATCAGGATTCAACGTTGAAACTGTGGAGTACAAGAACATCAGCTTCACCGTGTGGGATGTCGGAGGTCAGGACAAGGTTCGTGCGTGTTCCAGTTGTATAGCCCGGTTGTTGAGTAGCATTCCTGGATTGCTAACGGCTGGATATGTCGTTTTCGCAGATTCGCCCTCTCTGGAGGCACTATTTCCAAAACACGCAGGGTCTTATCTTCGTTGTTGATAGCAACGACAGGGATCGTGTGATGGAGGCACGTGACGAGCTCCATAGAATGCTTAACGAGGTCAGTTCACATATTTCTTTGTCGACGACGTTACTTCGTATCAACAGCTTTGTCCTAACCCCGTTCCGTTGATGCTTCTTTTGATGTGGATCAGGACGAATTGAGGGACGCGGTGCTGCTGGTCTTCGCGAACAAGCAGGACCTTCCCAACGCCATGAATGCTGCGGAAATCACTGATAAGCTAGGCTTACACTCGTTGCGCCAGCGGCAGTGGTGAGTAGCTTATTGTCACACGTTTTGGAAGAGTTGTGCGCACATTGCGATTAATCAAACCTCATTCCTTATAATTTGCTGCTAATGTCTCGTCACAGGTACATTCAGAGCACTTGCGCTACATCTGGTGAAGGTCTATACGAGGGACTGGACTGGCTCTCTAACAACATTTCGTCCAAGGTAAAGACTAGCGCTACTTTCCTCCCAACCTGCCTATCTCATTCTCTCGACCTATTGCTCCCTCCCTCCTTCCTCCTCCCTCTTATCCCCACGGACGCACAAGAACATTTTCCGTCCACCTATATCTGGTTTCTGGCATCTCCCCTTGTTACCATCTTCCACGTTCCTACGCTTGCTCCCTGTTTTGCCCATTTTCCAAACTCGCTAGCCCTCTATCTGGATATCTCTGGCTCACCTCTTCATTTCCCCCCAGTTTTCCTCCTCTCCTGGCTCACTCAATCCCACTGCTGTCCTGACTGCTGTGATTCTTGTTAATGTCATCTTTCCTGTTTGAGCACTCTTATTGTGCTCGCAACCAGGGTATCTTTCTCACATGGTTTTGTGCTCATCGATTTCTTGCTATTGCTGCTGCTGCAGGACTGAGCCATGGAAGTTTTTCCCAAGCTGGAGAGTTTGATATTGAGATTGTTGCTGAACTTCCCCATAGCGCACAGCAGATATTTAGTGAAGTATTTTGTAGCGATTGTTTATTCCAACAATTATACGAACCAGGAAGAAGTGGATATAGACAATGCGATGTAATGTGATTACAGTAGTCATATAACGTTTCAAACCGCATAATGAAAGTGTCCACCGTAGATGTACAAAAATGATGAAGGGAGGGTACATTCCGCTGTGGACATGCGTCCCAATCGATGTGTCCCAATCGGGTGTACCGCTCCGAACCGCACTAAACCAGAGAAGCGAAAATTTTGAATCTAGGGCGCATTCGGTGTAATAAGATTCAGTGCGGTAGAATCGATTGGGACACATCGATTGGGACGCATGTCCACAGCGGAATGTACCCTAATTGTATATTTCAACAATTACCGATATGAAGTAGCAAGCAAAAAGTGGCTAAAAATGACACTATGATGTAATGTGTTCACAAGAGTCTTGTGGTCTTGTCAATGGTCTTGTGTTCTTGCATGCTGAGGTGGTAAATGTTAATTCTTGTTTCTTATGCCCATGTCACCCGGCGACGGGGTTTGTGACGTGAAGGCTTCGCCAGCATTTCCAGTTCAAGAGGCTCTTCTTCCTCCACCTCCACATGGTATGTGGCGCAGCAGCCGAATACACAGATGGACATCTGCACACGAGCAAATAAACAGGGTGTCAACTTTTGCTTTTGACGGAAAAGAGACATTGGAACGTTGGTGAAGGGGACAATCCTTACGAGGATGATGGTGAAGGCGAGGAGGAGATACGCCACTTTCATCCACTCGCTCTTCACATACTCCGCCACACCAGCCCTGCTCAGAGGCACACACAATGGCATTCAAACGCCCATTTCCTTACACCACAAGGTAGAGAAAGTGAAGACGCATGGCGAGCCATGCGCACTGCTCCATGCTGCAGCGGCGGCGGCGGCGGATGCTGCCATACCTGCACGAGTCGCAGGCGAAGCACATGGTGGAGTTGACGGCGCTGTACTTGGTGCAGTCGGGGTTGTCGCTGTGCGGGGGTCCCTCCTGCATGAAGATGGTAGCCGTCATCTGCCGGTACCCGCACCTGCAACCCACGTGCGCGCGCGGGGGAGATGACGCACAGTACAGTACCACAGGGCGGGGATTTGGCACGGGAGAGAATGAAAGGAGTGACACGAAGGCAGGACGTGGGAGGTGAGGTGCTGCTCGTGACGCGCCCAGTGGCCCGCTGTTGCGGCTGCTATGCACACGGCATGGCTCGGTCTGGGCTGCACACGGCACTAGACGTTCTCCTGCAGCGGACGGACATACGAGAGTGCGTGCTACGAGCATACTGGCAATACGTGCTGCGCGGACCTATCGCGACAGCAGGTGCTGGTGAGTGGAAAGAGCTTGGCAACACGCCAAAGCGCGGCACTCACTCGATGGGCGGGCGGCAGCAGCCGGACTCGGTGGGGGAGAGCTGGGCAGCGTGGTACTGGGAAAGGTCCTGGCGGATGGGCGGGGAGAAAGCAGGGAGAAGGTGCAGGGGAAGCGAGGAAGGGCACTCATGAATGGGTGGGAAGACGTGTCCGTCTGACTGCCCGTTCTGTCGGTGCTGGTGTTATGAAGGGTGGCGGCACGAGTGGTGGTGTGATCACGTGCGGTGAGGCGGCGCGCGCGCGGCACTGACCGGGTAGCGCAGGTTGAGCTGCTGGCAGTACGCGGCGTCCACCATGCACGCCTGCACGCGGTCCCACGTCGCCGCGTTGCGCAGCTGCCGCAGCACCGTCATCAAGGGGGGTGGAGGAAATGGGAGTGGGGAGGGGTACAGGGAAGGAAGGAGGCTTTGAGAGACTGGGTGAGAGCGAGGAGACGAGGCCGGGCGGGCCGGGAAGTGCAAGGAACTGTGGGAACACGAAAATTGCAGGTGGACAATGCTGGCATGAGGGACAGAATCTCTAAGAACATCGTCCAAGTCGATGCACGAGACGGGAAGGCGAGAAGCGAAGGGCACGGGAGGGCGGAAACGTACCGTAGATTGCATCCACTTGGAATAGCTGTCCAGGTAGTACTGCTGGAATCTGGGGGGGGGAGGAGGTGGGGCGAGAGAGGGGGGTTGCGCAGGAGGTGTGGGTTGTTGGGAGGTCGGCGGGAGAAAGGACACCCAGGCGGGGAGGCGCAGTATTACCAGGCATTAGAGGAGTGGAAGTAGAGAAAAAGCGTGAGGAATGAAACTAGAGGACGAGCGAGAGTGAGGTGAGTGTTCTAGTGCTAAGCGGGGCAGGCGGCCGAGCTCACTCGAGGCCGTTGACGGGCGTGCCGTGCCCGGGCTCGCTGACTGTGAACCTGCGCGCACACACGCGCGGAAGGAGACGAGGGGCGGAAGGCGCGGAAGATTGGAGGGGATTCAGAGGAAGCAGGAGTCGTGGGTAGCACAAGTATACGCGAGAGGTAAGGAAATGGTGTGAGCGAGGAATGACGTGCTGTGGTGAAATAAGAATGGTTTGGATTTGAGGAGCGAGGGAGGTGGGAGACGAAGGGCGGTGGCGGTGCGTACGAGAAGATGGTGAAGGCGAGGAAGACGAGCGTGATGACGGATAGCAGCACCATGTACTGCCTCGAGCACACGCAACCACACACACCGCACATACATACACCCAGGCACGCACCGGTGCAGGGACGCACATACACGCGCATGGGAAACGGTCGGACATGAGGCAAGTGAACGGGCAGTGCAGGCAGGGAAAGACGGGAGAGCGAGGATGGCGCGCGGGGCAGGCGGGGCGAGGGAGAGACGAGGGCTCGCGTGTGTGGATTGTTTCTCAAATTGACAAGGCAGAGCCGAGATTGTGCGTTTGGAGTGGCACGGGAGCACGAAGTCAATGCGAAACGGCAAGTCAGGCGGCGTCAATGCACGAAGGAGGGTGGTGTAAAAGGGGGGAGGGGACGCGGGGAGGGTGCGGGAGAGGAGGAACGTACGATCCAGAGGAGGAACGACGACGTGCATGCCGTGCCTAGCAGGCCCAGCAGCGACCTGCCAGCGCAGGGCGTTGAAAGGAGCAGGCGGGCGGGGGGGGGGAAGAAAGGGATGAGGTGTGCGAGACGCTTGTGATGGTTAAGGTAACGAGAGAACACTGGGTCGATAAGGCTGACTAGTGGACGGGAGGGGAGAACACGAGGCGAAACAAGGGGGAGCGGGAATCAGGAGACCCGTAGGGTGAAGGTGTCCGGGTGAAAGGGAGAGGTGCCAGGGGCGGGAGGCGAGGAGCGCACACGACAGTGACGAGGGAACCGAGCACGATGAGCGGCGTCTGGATGAACGCGAGACACGCCGTGGGCTGCTTCGAGTACAGCACGCCCGCCGTCACCAGCAGCACCACTCCCAACACCTGCGCACCGTTAAAAAAACCACAGATGGCGAAGAATGACGGGGATCAGGAAATTAACGAGACGTGGAAAAGGTGAGCGCGAGGTGGAGAAGATTGATTCGAGATGGATGAGCGGACTGGAAGGCGAAGGAGCAGCTGTGATTCGAGATTGATTCGTCGAAGTGAGGACTGTTAGTGATTGAGATGACAGGTTCGGATTTCCTGGGGGTGGACGGGGAAGAGGAAAAGCAGGAGGCAGCAGGATGCGCGAGAGGCGGAAGAGCGTTAGTGCCGCACCAGCGTGAGGACATTGATCCATTTGACGAAGACCGTACTGCACCGATACGCCATGCTTCTTGCAGCGCCAGGGTCTGTTCTCGTGCTGTGGGCTGTATTTCTTCCTGAACAAGGCAGATGGATTCGGAGCTTTTGGTGCAAAGCGCAGCTGGAATGTAGCAACTGAACTTCTTGGGGTGAGATGGCGGGGGGAATGTGTACATGATTGGGACAGGAGGCTCGGAGGGGGGCAAGGGCTTGTTGCACGCTTCGACGGGTGGATGTCTGCTCGCCCCTTGCCCGGCTGTCATCGCCTTGAGGAGACGCAGCGCACATTCGACAGTCAAGGCGCAGCGTCGAGCCGCACCAGTTTCCAGTCACGTTGACGCAATTCGAGCCTCACACGCTAGCCACGTACCACCAGCATGGGAGATGCGTGCTTCTGATACAGAAACTGGAAAATTAATTAGGGAGATTATGTCAATGGTAACTTATATAGAGCCCTATTCTTATGAGTTGTCAAACAGAGTTGCGCGGAATAACGAATAACGAGGCTGTGACTCAATGGACTGACGATACAATGAAAGGCATGCGATTATATAGCGAGACAACCTAGCTAGGCGGGAACCTCGGGAACGCGAGGTTGGGTGCAGGTTGGGCAATGGAAAGCCGAAGGCGACGCGAGGTTGCTTCGGCAGCAAGCAAAGCGGCCGAACGTGCACTTCCGAAAGTTGGGGTTGTACGCGGTTGAGTAAACCCCAGTAAGGAAAAGGGGTTTTTCCTTACACTACCCCCCCCCCCCCCCCCCTTAAGAAAGGTGGTCAACATCCACAGCTCGCTTGCGGGCGAGGTAATCACCAAGAAGCGGGGAAGCTTCAAGCGAGGCGGATGGCACCCATGTGTCGTCCTCACTGGTGCGGTCAGTCCAACGGATAAGAAAGTCCACGTGGCGTCCCGAAGCGTCGAGCCGAACACGATGCGCCAAAATCTTGGACGGGTCGAGTGTCGGTTCCGGGACAGGTCGAGCTGTCGGGACGGCGTTCTGGCGCGCGATGTCTGTTGTGGCAGGCACGAACTTGCGTAATAAGCTGACGTGGAAGGCGTCGTGAATACGCCAGTCGTCGGGTAGTAGCAGCTTCGCGGTGACAGGTGTCACCATCTTGAGGATCCTGAAAGGCCCACAGAATCGTGGCCGTAACTTCGATGGGCCGGGCAGGTGCAGGTTCTTCGTGTCCAGTAGTACTAGTTGCCCAGCTGCCAAGACGAGTTCCCGTCGTAAAAGGTCGGTGTATTTGCGGGAAGTGGTATTCGCCTTGCGAATTGCGTCCGCAGCCTTCTCGCGAATTTCTTGGAGTTCTGTCACAAATGTTTGTGACCTCGGGACCGGGTTGTCAAGTGTAGTCGTTGTAGGTACCACCGGGTCCATCCCGCAATTCAAGAAGAACGGGGAGTGATTAGTCGTGCTGGACGGAGCGTTGTTGAACGCGAATTCCAGCATGGCGAGCGAATGTTCCCAGCGAGCGGGGTCGGGGCAGTTTGTCCTGATCAGCTGCTCCATCGTCTGATTGGTCCGCTCGGTCTGGCCGTCGGTTTGCGGGTGGTATGCCGACGAGAACTGTAGCTTCGTTCCGTACTGCGCCCACGTCTCCTTCCAAAATTTCGATGTGAACTTTGGGTCCCGGTCGCTGATGATAACCGATGGGATGCCGTGTAGTCGCACAACGGTGGAGATGAAGAGGCGTGCAGTTTCTTCGGCGGTGATTGTCGTGCGACAAGGTGCGAAATGCGCCATTTTTGTGAGGCGATCGACGACGACGAGTACAGCGTCGTTGCCGGACGGCCCAGCTGGCAGCCCCGTGACAAAGTCCATCGTCACCTGTTGCCATGGTCGTTCGGGTGGCTCGAGAGGTTGCAGCAACCCAGCTGGCCGCTGACGTGTCGATTTCATGGCTTGGCACACCCTGCATGAGGACACATATCGCTGCACGTCGTTAGCAGAATCAGGCCAATAATACTGACGGTGCAACAACTTCTGGGTTTTATCAACCCCGAAATGTCCGGAGAGGTTGGAATCATGGACCTCCTGAATAAGGAGTTCGCGCAGCAGCCGGTAAGCGGGAACCCAAATCCGGTCAGTTCCGGCCTTTAGGTAATAATTCCCTTTCTGCGTCGTCGCCTGCTGGTGATTTCCAGTCGTGAAGAACGGGTCCGTAGTGTAGCCGTGGGTGAATAGCCCCGAAAGAAGCGGGTTCGAATGGGTGATCAGCACAGCAGCGGATTGGACTGTCGGTCGGGTCAGGGCGTCGGCAATGTTGTTCGCGCCCTTCTTGTAGGTGATCCTGTAGTGGAAGTGTGACTCCATGTAATCGAGCCACCGGATTTGTCGCGGGTTGAGGTTGGGCTGGGCTCGCAGGTACTGTAGGGACTTGTGGTCCGTGCGAACAGTGACGTCGGCGCCCACCAGGTAGCAGCGCCACAGTTTGAACGCGTGAATGATGGCGAGCATCTCCTTGTCGTGAATCGGGTAGTTGCGCTCGGCTGCCTGCAACTTGCGTGACTCGTAGGCGATCGGTTGTAAGCCGTTGCCAAAATCCTGGAGCAGCACTGCGCCGATGGCAAAATATGAGGCGTCGGTGGCAACTTCGAACGGCTTTGATGGATCGGCGATGCGAAGAACCGGAGGGGACACCAGTAACTTTTTCAACTCCTGAAAAGCCGCCTCAGCCTCCTCCCCCCACACGAAATTCCTATCCTTGTGCAGCAGGTCGGTCAGCGGGCCGGTTATCCCCGCCATATTCGGGATAAACCGCCGGACATAATTCACGAACCCCAGAAAACTTTGAAGTTCCGTGACATTAGTCGGGGCCTTCCACTCCTGGATGGTCTTGATTTTCTTCGGGTCGATTTTGATGCCGTCGCGTGAAATGATGTGCCCCAAAAACTCCAACTCTTGCTTAAAAAACTCGCACTTAGAGCCCTTGGTGATGAGGCGGTTCTCCTGCAACCGCTTAAATACTGCGTCGAGGTCGCGGAGGTGCTGCTCGCGTGTCCTGCTAAAAATCAGAATATCGTCCAAGTAGACGATAACACACTTGTCCAGCAGGTCGCGAAATACCCTGTTCATGGTGCGTTGGAATGTTGATGGCGCGTTCGTGAGGCCGAAAGGCATCACTGTGAACTCGTAGCTGCCGTAGCGGGTTCGGAAGGCGGTCTTGTGACAGTCGTCAGCGAAGACCCTGATCTGGTGGTAACCGCCGCGTAGGTCAATTTTCGAGAAGTAGCGAGCGCCGCGAAGTTGGTCGAGGAGGTCGTCGGTGCGTGGGATGGGATAGCGAGACTTGATGGTAACCCGGTTGAGCGCGCGATAGTCGATGCACATGCGAATGCCGCCGTCCTTCTTCGGTGTGAACAGGATCGGTGCGGCGAAGGGCGAAGTACTGGGTCGGATGAAGCCCTTCTCCAACAGTGACTCAAGTTGACTTCGAAGCTCCGCAAGTTCGGGCTGAGTCAACCGCCACTGTGTACGAACAGTCGGTTGCGCGCCGGGCTCTAGGGTGATTCTGTGGTCTTCGGGTCGTTCGGATGGCAGTCTAGGTGGCAGGTCATCCGGGAAAATGTCGGAGTATTGTCGAATCAGCTCCGCTAAATCAGGTGGTACAGCTGCGCACAGCTTCTCGATGTCGTTTCCGTCGGTGTCGGCTGCCAACTCGCGCAAGCATACGGCGAACAGTTGCGCACCCCTGTTGACGTGGCGTGTAATAGTGATGGCTTTGACGCATGTAGACTCGATGCAGTCCGGAGTCCACGCGGGCAGAGTAATCAGCTTCCCGTCCTTGCTGATGCTGCACGATCCCGTCGTCCAATCGATTATCGGGTTGTGCCGTCGCAGCCAATCGCGTCCCAGGAGCACGTCGCATCCGTCCAACGTCGTCGCGAGAAACTTCATGCTGAAGCCGAAATCGTCGCCGCACTCAATCCGCACCGTCCGTGTTTCCTCCAAAATCGCCAGAGGCGTCCCATCCACGAGGCGAGCGTCAATTTCGGGCAGACACCTGTCCAGCTGCAACTTGCATTTTTTTGCTGTCGCCAGATTGAAGAGGCTATGGCTAGCCCCGCCATCGACGAACATTTTTATTTTTTTCTTAACAACCGTGCCAACAACCAGCACAGGGTGATCCACATGTTCACCCCCGTTATTCGTCCGAGTGCGATCGATTGCATGAATCGGAACCACGACTCGGTGGGGATGGTGGGGTTCGGGCGACAGAGCACAGTCAGTAAGGGGCCCGTCTGTTACTGACTCTTCCCATTTCCCGGCTCCTTCCCGTCGTTCCTCTTTCCCTGCGTCCTGTCGGGGCAGTCTTTATACATGTGGCCCGGCTTCCCGCACTTAAAACACAACCCTGTAAAAGGGCGGTCTGGCGCATGGACTCCGTTAATCGTGGCCCGCTGGGTCTGTCCACGAAATCGGTTTCCCTCCCGAGAACTCGATCTCGCCCACTGCATCAGCGCGTCTGTGCTCTCGGCCAATCGGACGGCTTCGTTGAATGTTGTCGGGCGGTTTCGGCGCACCTCGAACTGTATCTCGTACTTGAGGCCGCTGATGTATTTATCCAACCGCTCTGCTTCCGACATGTCATCCACTTGGTCCGCGAGCGCCATAAACGACGCCGTGTAGTCTTGAACAGAAGCCAACTGCGACCAGGTACGCAGCTTCATGCGAGCGTGTTCCGAGGCGGATACATGCTCGAAACGCTCTCGTAAGGCTGCGCCCCACTGTTTCCACGTGCGAATTGTGGCCACACCGAATATCGATGATGCCCTCCCAATAGCAGAGTCCGAAGTCCCGTCTGCCGCATGTGTCACACCTGTCGGGGTCCCCGTGTCCAAGGTTCGTCGCCACCACTCAAGCGCCGGGCCTCGCAGAAGCGATACCGCGTAATTAATACGCGTGGCGTCGTCGTTAACATTCGCTGCAGTGAAGAACACCTCCACGCCGAACAACCACCCCTTAACAGTAGTGTTCTTGTCGGTAGGGTTGAA